TAGTTTTGGAGCAGGGTTCTCCCACGCTCCGCTTGGTCCTCTGTCCTCTCTGTCTTCTGTCTCCTCTGCTTCATCTCTTTCCATTTGATAAAAGCTTTGTTGAAATCAAACTGCTCTTGCGGAGGGCCAAGCTCTGAAATCAGCATCAGATTGGTGAGATTTGTGTTATTGAGAGAATTTCTGAATCTTGTTTTTATCCTGTTTTGCGTGCTGAATCCACGTTCATATGACACACTGGCAACTGGGATGACTAAAGCGATCTTAATGAGCTTCTCCATTTCAGTGAACACACCCCGAAGGTCACTCAAAGCAGCCTTTGCAAACTGCTGGAAGGTCAATGAGGCGTACGAGTCACTGGAAACCATAGTTTGCTTCAGCAAGGCAAACCCCGAGCGTCCATCCACTGCACTTATATAGTTTGAGAAGTGTGCAAGAAGGTTGTCGAGTTTTTCAAGGCCATAATGAGAAAAGTTCTGACTTTTTTGCCATAATGGCTTTTTTTTTTTTGGCTCCAAAATTGTAAACCATGACAGAACATCCAGTGTCTCACAGGGGAATCTTCTCTCAATCTCTGTTATTAAAGATCCCACGTACCTGCTCTTCATGTCATCAATGGCTGGTTTTTGGGTGTGGCAGTCAAAAATTTTGTCTCTGTTAAACTTGTTTCCATCAAGAGAGCTGAAGAATTCTGTTTCTGCAGGGCCAGGGTGGACGATTATTTCCTTCGGGGCTTCTTTGGTACTTTCAACCATTGGCTGTGCTGTGGAGAAGTCCAGATCTTCTCTTTGAAAATGTTTTGAGAGAAGGCCTACATGCATCAGTACGTCCTTCATCATGTGACAAAGAGCCACAAAGTTAAACTGTCTCACAGCTAGTAGCAGACCTTTAGCTTTGTCAGCATCTTGTGCATTAGAGGAAGCCATGTGCTCCAGGACATCTCTCAGGGATTTCAGTGATCTACACACTACTGACACTGCATTGTGAATTGTCAGCCACCTTACTGTATGTGGCTGGGTGAACTTCAGTTGGGGTTCATCCCGCTGTTTCTGCAATTCATGCAGCGTGTTGCTTCTGACAGCAGAATTACTGAAAAAAATAAAAATTGATCTCAAATCCTGCTGAAACCGTTTCACCTGTGGCACGGAGTTGGCTGCATCACTGGCAGCAAGTGCGAGACGATGAGCCGTACAGTGGATTCCTACCAGGTCTGGGTTGTATAGCTCTCTGAGTTTTTTTAATAACTCCTTGTCTGCATCCTGTCATTACAGGAGCTCCATCAGTGCAAACTGCAGCAAGTTTTTTTCCATCCAGTTTTTTTTTACATCTTCAACAATAGTGTCTACTCTTCCATCAGCAATTTCAGAATTCCTTATCAGTTTTCTTTTGACCTTGTTGTCATCTATGAATCTGACATAGATAATCAGTCATTTGGTGTTACTAATGTCAGTAGATTCATCCAATATTAATGAAAACACGGGACTTCTTTCAACAGCTTTGTCAACATCTTCCACAAGTGTGCTTGCAATAGCTTGCTGCATTTCTGACAGTCCTTTTTCATTGACGTAGCTACCATAGCTTGATGTTTCTGTAAGTTTTTTGAAAGCAGGACACTCCATTTCTTTCAGGAATTTAACCACATGGCAAATTTAGCTTTTACCATTTCATTTTTTGCAGTAAAATATGCAGTTTTCAGGAGCCCCTTCATTTCTGCAGCAGACTGTAAATGTGCATCGATAGCTTTGGCCATTACATTTTTTTGCTGAATCCGCCTCACGTTTTATTTCTACTGCTGCAGTGTGAGACACACCATCAGCGTGACGGCGTAAAGTTGATGTTTTGTAGCATCGACTTGCAAAAGGCAAGCACCGTACATTTTATAAATGGAGCAGTTCATTTCACCATTATTATTTTCAAGCCAGAGATACAGTATGAGCTAGTTAGCCTGAAACTTATCTTTAGGCTGCTTGCTAACGTTACTTTCAGTGACGCTACCTTTTTGAAAGTCCGGAGGATCTGTCTCATTCACAGTATCGCTGGAATCAGCGCTGCCTCTCGCCCTGCCTCCAGCGCCTCCTCCCTCGCTGCCTTCCACGCTGGGGATTTCTTGTAAAGTTTTTTTGGGAGCAGGTTCCCCTTCGTTGTTAGATTTCCGTTTTAACCAGCGGTCCATGTCTGCGTGCAGGCGTTAAATCCGACAACCAAAGCACTGCTTTGCTGCTAGCAAGGGACTGAGCTCGTATTTTGATAAGTGGAGAAAAAAATTATAATCCAGCGCGCCGCCAGTCACCAAGATGAAGAACAGGTCCGATGTTGTGGGATTTTAATGGCTCCGATACAAACGTCCACATTCGCTGCAGGCTGTGCGGGACTTTCCCGCATTATAAAACTAGATTTGCGAGAAGCGACTATATAACGCGCAATACCCGCAATCCCGCAGTGAATTTCAGGCCCTGAGAACGTTTGGCGTTGTGTTGGTTTGCACTAGCACTTCACAACATGAGGATTTTGAGTTTTACTGTTGATTTGCAGGAGTTTCCTTTGCAGAATTTGCATGTTTTCTCTGTCTGTGCATGCATATCTTACCAAAGTGCAAAAGCTTGAACTTTAGTAAATGATTCCAAAATGATATTAGGTCTGAGTCTGTGTCTGCAAAATATTCTTTTCACAGTTACAGTCTTCTTATACTTGTCTTATGGGGTTGGGCTTGACTAGTGGTTATAACTGAACTGGAAAAGTTTCCTTAGTCCAGCTAAACCCCATTTGACAAAACGTTGGTTTAAAACAAAATTAATGTGACTGAATTCTGTTCTGTACAATCTATCCAACCTGGAACACCTCTGTGCTTGATAGAAGTTGAACGTTAGCATGCAAACAGTAGCTCAAGGTGTGCCTGCAGGCAGTTTTATCTGTCATCTCAGTAATGGATGACTGTTCTGCAGCGCAGACACAGTTCCTCAGTGAAATGGGACTGCAATGCACCACTGTGACGATTTGTCTTCTAAATGTGCATGCCAGTAAATATGTTCTTTAATATGATAGGCATCTGACTCTCAGATTAGTCTGATAACTGTATTATTTATATCATGTCTGTTTCTTTTTTCTGTTCTATGGTGAAACGTCTGTCACAAATGCATCATTGATGTTAGAAAATAAGGTGAAACTACAGACAAGAGAAAAAATACCAAATGAATGTAATGCAGTTGCTACATTTCTCCAGGTTGTACTGCAAATATCTTGGGATGATGCCAGGCAAAGCTGGCGTAGCCTGCTGGGGAGAAGACAATTTGGGCTTTACCCGTTACAGCTGCTGCCCCCGTGACCTGGACCTGAATAAGCGATGGAAGATGAGATGATTGTGTTTAACCTCCAAATTCTCACCTTTTTGTTTGGTGCATGATTTTATTTCTCCTGTATAGGATGCCATGAACATTAATAATGGTTTTGATTAATTGGTTGTTCAGATTTCTAAAAGATTTAAATTGATGTTTACATTTTTAAAGAGAACAGTTAAATATTTTAAACCAGTTTTCCTGAAAAAGAACAACCAGTCAGGTGGTACACGGAAGTCAGCATCCTCGTTTCAGGAGATTAAAGTAATACTAGACAGTCTCCTGCTCCTCTGTCCTACTGGTTGAAAGTGGAATTACAACTGTCATAAACAACCCTGCTGCAGCTAGCGCTAACAATGAGCTAAAACTAACATGAGCCATCTAATACTAAAATAAACCACGAAGTAAAAAGAACCACTCAGTTAGACAAAAAATATTACTTACAAGTCCAGTAGCAACAAAGCCGGGTTACAATCAGTCCGTTATTTTGTAGCCTCCTTTAGCTCCCTCTAACTAGCATACTGCACCGATGTTCACTCTGACTTTAGCGCTTTGCTTCACCTCCAAAGACATTACTCTTTTACTTTTACTTCCAGGCTCTGCCACGATGCCAACAGAAAAAGCAAACATCTTATTTTTCTTTTTCTTGACAATTGGCAACCTGAAAATGCTAACCGCTAGCATAACAGCTAACAGCCATTAGATGTTATCAGTGCAGTGAGGCCATCAACATATTTACGAGTGAGGCTGGCACCACCCCTCCCCCGTTTCAAGTCACTGCTTAAGGCCCACTTTTACAACCAGGTATTTTTAAACCCTTGACTTTTTATTAATTATTTTTATTATGTGTTTCTTTTCATTGACCGTGATTATCTGCTTTGGTGTGTACTTTTATTATTGATTGTGTTTTTGTTTTTATGTTGTGTTTTACGGTCGGCTGCCATGCCATTTTAAATGTGCTTTATAAATAAAGTTGGAATGGTATTAAGCAGGTAAAGAGTGCCCCCTAAAGAGCACCTACCCACTACAAAAAACTATCAAGTGCGGTTTTTGGTCAGCAGAGGTCTGCAGAGTGGTGTCAAAGATGAAACTGGTCAAGTTTCTTCCTCAACAATCACTGAGATCAATGTTAAAGCTCTGGCTTAAAGTTTAAAAAACAATCTGTTGTTGCTTTAAGTAAAGAAAATCACCTGCTCTGGTTAGATTTACCACATAATCCCAACCTTGACAGCAGTTTCCCTTGGAGACAAGTATATGAACGTTTTTTGTTCCGACCATAACAGTTTACATACAAACCATTGCACTCACAGCAAAACCGATGATTGTCACAGTGACGTCAAAGGGAATATTAATTTATTAATATCATTATTACTATTCAACATGTAAATCACGTTGGATTCATGCATGGATGCATTTTGCTCATCATCAGCAGAGATATTGTCACAGGCTCCTAACAGAGACTGTAATCTAGGCCCGCTCACCTCCAGAGTCTGCAATCAGTAACATGCTGTGGCATCATTAACAAGCGAAAAGTGACGGTAGGAACATTTCCTGTCAGCAGCATAGGAACAGGAGGTTATGTGTTGTTTTTGCTAAAGAAAACTGATATTAAAATTATCATTGCATTTGCTCTGAGAATGGGATGGTTGGCATCAAAAACCTGCGCAAAAAGACAATAAAGCAGAATTTATTTACACTTGTAGACATATTTACACTCATTTTTTTGATGTTAAAACATGGGAAAAAACTATTTAAGGTCAGTAAACAAGAAGACGATGTTTATCACTGTGCAATACATCAATCAGATCAAGAATATATGGAAAGATCAGAGGTTGTCTGTATAAAAACACTTGTTTCTCCATATTCTCTGTAATGCATGTTGAACCCAACATGGCCTTTGTTCTTACTGTCCATTTGCTTACTGCCTTCTGTGGATTTAGTCAGTTGTGCCGTAACAAGGCATTTTTCTCTGTGCCACACAGCTGAAACAGCAGCGTTCAGTCACAAGGTGTCACCATAAGTGGCTCAGAAGCTGGAGTTGAGTGACGCTGGAGTGGAGTCATTGGCCCAGATCAAGGTGAAGTTGGCCTTGCTCTGGATGCTGGGCTCTGGAGCGGGAAAGGCAATGTGGAAAGCAACTCCTATGGTCAGTGTGAGAATTGAAAACAGCAAAGCGAGGCCTCGGCGTGTGATCAGCTGAGAGATGGAGAGCTTTTCCTCAGCTTTGGTGTTTGAGGTGTTTTTGTCATCTTCACCCTCCCTCTTAGGACCTCCAACAGTCAAACCTTTTTCCTCAAACTCAAGAGCGGCCTTCAGCTCCACATCTTGGGTATTCACGGGATTGTAGCCGTCTGTTTTAGGAGCTGGTTCGCTGCTCGACTGGGCCTTTATGATGCAAAAAAATATAGTGCACAGTTTTAAACACATTGATCAAACACGGTATGTTTTGTGATAAGAAAGACTTCAGCAATGACAGAAGGAAAGGTGTAGAATACAGTAGTGTGACCAGCAAAAATGTCTGGTTTAGAGACAGTGTCCATAAGGAAAAGATCGGAGGCAGATTTGGAGGTTGCAGAGCACAAGATGTTGAGGTTTTTCTTTAGGAGTGACGAGGATGTATAGGCTCAGGAATGAGGATACCCGAGGGAAATCTCATGTCATGAAGATAAAGTCAGACTGAGATGGTTTGGACATGTCCAGCGGAGAGGCAATAACCATGTTTCCACTATACAAAACAAAGCAAAGATGACAGGAAAAACATGCTGGTTTGGTCTTCTTTCCTCTCAAAATCAGTGCTTGCAGGACTTTGCTACGATGTCAGCATATCGCGGCCGTTTTGGCAGTAAGTGACGTCATTGGTCGGCCAAAAGACATCCACAGACATTAATGACATTACAAGTTTTATTCTGGCAAAGTACAGAGAGGGACTGTGACGTAAAATGACGTTTAATGACCAGAAGAAACATTGTTTTTTACAACGCTGTGTATGAGTCGACAAAGCGGCATGAATAACGGCGTTGCCGGAGTATTTTCCTTTTGTTTAGTGATGACTGCCGATGTCATTTCCTACGGAGTTACAATCAGTCAGCATGAGTTAACCAAAAGTCCCGCCCAGAGACTCTACCGGGCCGTTTCTGAGTAAATACCCCAATGCAGGTACTTAGTTGGTCCCTGAAATGACCCGGAAAGTGGTCGTAGCCCGGTGAACTTGAGATACTCACATACCGTGAAGTTCCGGTAAAATTACGCAGAAGTTCAGATAGAAGAAACGGGCCTAATGATTACATGAGTAAGGTTTTGAGACATCAGACAGGAGGCTGAGAATAAGACCAAAACTTAGATTTATGATATTGGATGCGGATGCAGTAAAAGAGGACATCAAGTTAGATGGTGTGAGGGTAGAAAATGCAAAAGATAGGACCAATTGGAGACAGATGATTGGCTGTGGAGACACCTGAAGGAAAAAGCTCAAAGAGACGAAGAGGATCAGGACAGCATATTTACCGATTCCGGGCAGAGAGGGATGTCTGACAGCATTGCTTCATTCAGGACTGTACTGACGGGGCGTATAGGCGTCACAACTATCATCTTCCCAGCTCGCAACTGAGCCTAAAACACGATTTTAGGGTTCAAAACGCACAAGTATTAAATTAAAATAGAATTTATCTGATAAGACCCACAAAGGGATCCTTCTTTTGTTTTATGCACATAGATTGTACCATTTGTACACGAAACAAGGGACTACCTCACCTTCTGAGTGACTTTTTTCCAGTTGAGTTTAAAAATGAGAAAAAGGAAAAAGCCTGTCTGAAGGAGAACACACAGTAAAAGACCGATCCAAAAGCCTGAAAGAACAAAACACAAATTCAGACACATGATCATTCAATTTCACCCTTTCATTTTTATTTTAGTAGTATTAATAGTTTCTCTCGGGAAACTGAAATGCTCAAATATTTAAAGGTACAAGTTAAGCCATTTTAATTATCTTTGCTAAACTTCCTTCTAGTGATTGTTATATTTGCTAAAATCAATACTGCAAATTTATTCCCCAAATAAGAGTCACCTTCAATGATGTAAATTTACAAATGGGTTTTTTGAGACCATTTCAAGATATACAAGTTTATTAGGCTCATGCAGAGGATATAATGTTCAGGATTCTGAAATTTTAAAAAAATGTCCATCTATGTGAACAGACATGTGCACATTCTGCACAGTTTGAGTGGATAGATAAGTTCACTGCGGCATGGGGTGGGTGGGTGGGGGGCTAATAGTGGACAGCAGGGAAAACAATCAAAGATCGGATGAAGAAATGGGAGATGGATTCAGCGGGCTTTTCTAATGATGCACCATTTACATACATGCAAACTATCTCCATTTCATTTAAATGTTGCTGGCATGGACGTAATTTTGGGGGGGGGGACGGGGGGACATGTCCGCCCCACTTTTTCCAAAGTCAAGTTTTGACCCCTGCACTTTTTACCATCCAAAAACAATATTACGCTATATTGAAATGGCACTGGTTGAGCTCTAGGACCAAGCAGAAAACAACCGTTTGTGTTGAGGCCTGTTTCCCATTAGAACACACTGTAAAGACCCCCCCCCCCCCCATGTCCCCCCCCCCCCCCACTTCTAAATTGAAAATTACGTCCATGGTTGCTGGTCTTTGAATATTCATGGATGAGTTTGTAAGTTAATGTAAAAGCTTCACAAAAACACTAAAGCCACTATGTCAAATAAAATATAATACATTTAAAGTTGTAGAACGCTCATTTAATCAATACATTTGCAGTGGTATCTGGTAGGAATGAATGCCTTGCAAGCTGTACTCAGGGCAAAAAAGGCCCAGAAGCGTCTGGATCAGCACAGACGAGTCTGCTGCAGCAGAGGGGCACAACACGGCAGGATTTAGTGTTATTTCCTGATATTTGGAAATCTTGCCTCAGATTGGATAACAGCAACATGATGACCACTGACTCTGTTTGCTTTGTGACACGGATGTTTTATCTCTTCAAATAACACAAGCTTGCGGGAGTTCTGCTGTGTGGTTGAGTTGCTAATGCTAATGGTTAGCTTCTACTATTTCTGCTTTCTCCTGGACACTAAAACAACAACAGCCTTCCTTGTTGCGAGTCAAGATCCATGAATGTTAAGTAACAGTGACAGTAGATCTGTCAGGCTTTTCAAAACCTAGAGTTTCACCATCTATTTTCTACCAGAAGCTAATTCAGGAGATAGGTGTAGGAGACTATTTCCGCCTGCATGAAATACTCAGAGTGACTGATTGCTGAATGAATTACCTAATAGTCTGAGCTTAGCAGCAAACATCAGTGCTATTCCTACAGGCAGGCCGATGATGTAGTAGGACACCAAGTTGGACAACGCAGCGATTTTCTGCATCCCAGATCCTACAAGTATTCCTGAGCAGACACACTAAGAAAAGAAGGATTTGTGCATATAAGAACACTGATTTAATAAAACAATCCCTGATTTATCACAAGTCTCTAGTGTTTGAAGGAACACGAGCGTACCAGAAGTGCATCAAGGAACTGCAGAAACATGTAAACGGTTATATTTTCTGACACCGTCTCCACGATGTTGCTGCAGAGAGGACACATTTAGATCATCACAAATATCCTGTATGTGGTAAAAAGTGAAAATGTGTTGGATCAAAACGCACACATCAGTGGTGAATATGTAGCCAACCACAGACTTGGAACCAGCAAGGACAAAACCCTGGAAAACAGCGAGGACTCCTGCAGCAGGGAAACAAGACTGTGATCTCAATCTGGACATTTTAGATGTTAAATGTTGTTCTTCATGATTTACACAGACCAGGTCTGTTTCATCCCATCTGTATTTACCTGATAGAACCAAAGTAACTTTGCAGATGACTATTGCTCTGGAGGTTTCTCCGGCTCCCAAAGCATTCCCGACACGGACGCAAGCAGCTGCGTGGACTCCGAGAGGGAACTGCATCAAACAATTTAAGACACTTCTTTAAAATGCGCTTTACTTGGGGTTTCAGCTAAATATCATTCTAGAAAATAAACAACAATGACAGATAAAAATTAAATATCATAATTCATACCATGTATGTTATGGCTCCTATTTCCAACAACACGTGCTGGGCAGCCAGATCCACCTCTCCAAGAACACCTGACAGGGATTCAGTCATAAACTCTGGGAAATTCACTCAGAAAGATGTCACGTAAAATTATGAGGTCAATTATCAAAGAAAACAAGTTCCACAATTAAAAAAGATGCAGCATATTTGGTTTTTAAAATTTACTTTCCACTCAACCAGACAGGATTTACACAAGGAAAGGTTGTACAGAGTGAATTAAAGCTATGCAAACAGTGATTACAGTTATCTTTCAGTGGGGGAAGTGGTCAGGAAATTATTGTGATTCATGTGATGGATGTATCTGTTTACCTGCAAGGAAACCACCAACCTCCCAGATCCACCACTCAAAGCAGACCATGAACGTACTGGGAACGGCCAGCTTCATGTAGGAGCCCCAGTCCTGCAGACAGTCAGTGGACCAGCCTGCAGAAATGTTCAAATGTTCACGGTTCCAAACAAAAAATACAATACTTTCATTAATTTTTAAGATGTTTGAATATGGATCTAACCTCCCCAAGTTTGTTTATGGAGCTTCTTCCATCTGATGTAACCAAAAAGCAGCAGACAGATGACGATCTGAGAGAGACTGTTGGCAATTGCTGATCCACTGAAACAAAAGAAGATGTGATTTTTTTTAAACTACTGAAAGAAGACATGAGGGACAGTCACACACTGGCTCTTAAGGGGGGTATGGATGGCAACCGATAAATTAAACGCTTTGTCTAAAACTAATTAGGAACGGGACATTCACGATGATTGGATCCTGATCCAGCCATCAAAGTGCCCGCTGACCTCTCCTCCCTTTGTGTGCACAAATCGTGTGTTCTTGACTCGGAACAGCTGAACCAAAAGTGATGCCAGAACCGGGCTATATACTGTCAAAGACGGAATATTCCATTTTGTTTTCATTGGATTTAATTTAAAGGGATACTAAGCAGTTTTGCTTGCTTTTAGCACCCCCTAGTGTCCGTTTGTGGAAGCAAAACTATCTCCTCGCTGAGCGTTTGTCTTTTTAACACCTTAATCTAAAGCTTGGTATATGCTTCTGCGTCAGCTCCACAAGGGAGACACGCACGGATTGACCGAAGCGTTTTGGCTTCAGACTTGTTTGTTTCCTGGTGTGGCAAGGTGGAGAAACGAGGGCCCGGGTGGGATTCGATCCCCAGACTCCCGGGTAAGAGTCATGCATGCTAACCAGTCAGCCAAAGGAACATCCCCTTGGCCAAGTAGCCAGGGTGCATGATCAATCGGGACACTGTGACAGGACGCTCACACTGCCACACTGGGAAGTGTTGCAAAGCAATTCCCCGCCAGGACAACAGAGGGCGTAGCGCTGTTCTTGGGGTATCCTGCTACCATTAAGGTCATGTCTGGTCAACAATCCTCCAGATGCAGCGCTGATATTTACTATTGTGCATTTATATTGTGTACATGTATCTCAGAGACTTTTTAACACAGACACATTTGTCCCTCATTTTCCTCTGCCTCTTCATGCAGTCGCCACCATCAAACCCACGTTTTCCGTAATTTCATCCACGAATAAAACCTTTGCTGTGCATCTTTGTGCTCCTTCAGTCACCAGTGTATACACGTTCATATCATCATCAGACTTTTCCCAAGAGACTTTCTTCAATCTAGTCCGTGTCTGTTGCTAGATATCTTTCTCTTTTTGTTTTTTGAGAGGTGTTGACGAAAGGAAGTGGCGTCCTGACTCCTGATCGATCACCATTTTGCGGTCTCCATCGATTCTGATGGACAGTTAAAAATGAGACATGTCTCTGCCAGCCTCTGCGGGCCTGCCGCAAAGCCCTTGCATCAATGCATTATGGTGTTGCATGAATCCCCACTGACACTGATGGAGAAGCATAAATCAGACTTTAGTAAGGTAAGTCTGAAGAAAAGTGGTTTGACCTTTAAATTCTGCATTTGTCATAAGTAGCTTGATTGAATGGAAAGAAAATCGTCTCCTGTGGCATCTTCAAACTTGTTAACTTATTTATTCAATACATTTGCATTGTTCTCTAGTGTAAATCAATGCCTTATGGGCTATTTTTTAAATAGCTATGATGCTCCTGTTCTGAGATGCATAAGTTTGCTGGTACAGAGGTGGGCTGAAAACAGCAGGATTACTCATTTTTCATGATATGCACACACCTCACTTCTGATTGACTAAAAGAACGCGTTCAGCCAAATTACAGTCACTATCAACAAGACACTCCCTTCGCTGCAAAAAAAAAGTTTCCTGTGGGCGGGCGCGAGCCAAGATGGGCGAGACCATGGATGTAAATTCAGTGTGACATAGATATGTGAGGATTTTCAAATTTTAGCATCAGAAGCTAATGCAGGAGATAGGTGTAGAAGACTGTTTTCATGTTCTGCCTGCATGAAAATCTCAGGGTAACTGATTATAATCAGAAATAAACATTTAAACATTTTTTTCAGTCAATCACACCTTTAAAGAGCAAGTCACCCCCTACCAGAGTCGAACTTTGAAAAATGCACCAAAAGGAGGCGTTGCATGGTAGACTGAGAGGGCGGAGCCGCTAACAAATACACGCACACAGGCTCACAGTGGCATTGTGACATCATATGGTACCAGCTAACCTCATAGGGTACCGTTTAGACAATTGCAATGGTAGATTTAAATTCAAATGTAGTGCAACGTTTTAACCTTAAGAGGGCGCAACACTGACAGTTTTAAGCAGAAAATTTAAATTTGAACATAAGATGCACAAAAGCACAATTAGACACTCATTTATATAGTTTATCAGCAAAGAAAGTTGTTTTTGGGTGAGCTGCTCTTTAAGGGTTTTTGAATATAGGAGTTTTTACAGCCTGACAAAAGAACGTATTTGCAGTTAGCAGGAGTCCTCTGCTAGATTTGGGACAGGAGGGGGGTGGGGGGGGACCCAAATGGTCAACGGCTTGATGAATCAAATGTTTGTCCAGCTGGAACAAGAGTCCTCTGTTCTTTTTTCTCTGTTCCATTCTACCTCCCTCTCTATATGAGGTTCAAGAATAATAAACTTTAGTGAACGGATGACTCAGCCAGAACAAAAAACAAATCACCCTTCTCAGAAACATGACTGGACAAAATGCATCCTCTGACCCAGTTCTCAACCATTATAATGCATTCACCCTCAAATGTGACATTGTTGATGATGCTTAAGCAGCACTCTTCATCTCCATCTGCAACGTGACGTCTGATATCATATCAAGTAATACAAAGTCCGTGAACAATTACTGTAAAAGATAGGGAAGGTTTGACACACTTACACAGCTCCCATTTTGAGAAAGGAGATTAAAACATAGTTGATCCCCAAGTTAAAAATGTTTGCTACTGCAGCCGTGTACATCTGAGGAAGAATAATCCCCTGAGAGATATGAAAAAAGCCAGGAATTCACAATTAGTCTGTGCAGATAATCACACACATAATTACACAGATAAGATAAAGTAAAGCCTGTTTTTTCCAAGGAAAATATAGAAAAATCAAGCAGTGTAGCTTTAGGTCAAAAACACACTATAAATGTGTAAAATTCCTATTAATTTCCCACATTTTAATGTGAAGTTAGCATCACTAAAATGTAATTTTATGAATAAAGAAATAAATAAATAAATAAATCATCATGAAACTCCATCAAAGATATTTTTGTTCAGACACAAGCACCTGAAATCAAAATCAAAATACTTAAAAAGTTGTTTTAATCCATTAAAAATCAAAGTGTTTTTAGCTCATGCTGGCACGATGAAGTGAGAATAAAAACAACACATTAAAGCACATCTACTCATAAACCTACTTGGTTTTGCAGGTAGGAAACCTGCAGCTGATGCAGGAACATGGCCTAAAACAAAACGACAAAAATGTCATCATAGAAAAAATGCATACCTCTCATTTAGTAAAGGGGTATGCTGTTTTTTAAAGCGGAACATATATTTGAAGAATTAATTTCCTATAAGTCATGAAATGAAACAAATTTTTAAAAAAATTCAACATTTTGTGTCTCTTACAACTTATTGTAAATAATTTGTATTTTCAGATTAGATAAATGAAGAATTACTCAGACTTTAGTTGTCTTTTTCCCCTCTTTAGTCTAACATGTCCAGTAGAATGTCCTTCATTACAGCTCCCAACTACAGATGTATATGTTTATTTGGATTGTGACAGAAATGAAGCCACGAAAGTAACTGCTTGGAAATCAAATGCAGAAGCATCAATCCACTTCTGGAACTTCTGGGTAATTTTACCGGACCTTTGCTGCATGTGCATGTTTCCAATTCACTGGGCTAGCCCGAGAGGACCAACCAAGTCCTGCACTGGGGTTTGGATTGTACTCAGAAATGGCCTGGTAGAGTCGCTGGGTAGGACTTGTGGTTGACTCATTCTGATTGGTTGTAACCAGGTAGTACATGCTATCAGCAGACGTCGCCAAACTAGCGTTTGTAAAACTGGAAGAAATGCTGGTGAAACAAATAAGCAGTAGTGACGCTGCTTTAAAATCGCAGCTGCTAAACTCCCAATGCTGAAAACTCCTGCAGAAATCTCGCCCACGGTGGAGTAATTTTGGCCACTTAGTGGTCACCTACAGAGCGCCACAAAAATGATGCTTCTGCTGGTCATTGAGCCCCACATTTTAGGTCAGACAACCACTCTCCCGTCCCCTGAAACAATTAAATTAAGACATACTTTCATAGAATAGGGAGTCTAGTCTCCTTCCCTTCCGGTCGGCTCATGGGCCCCGGAGGAGTGAAAAAATGCATGCAGTGAGGCTATAAGAGCTACTTTCTAATATACTTTGCCTTATGGCCTGAATCGCACACATGTTCTACTTTAATTTAAATGAAACGTAATGATGTGTGTTTTGACCACACCTGTCATGTACTTTGAGATTTATCAGTTTGTAAAAATTTGTCGGCAGGAATCGCCTCTGTCCAGTGTTCCAAGTTCTCAGAGTCCCCAAGTCCAGTGTTCTGGTGTTCCCTGGTCTCCTGTGTTATGTGGCCTTGTGGGCGTCTGGTATCTGCCCCTTAAGGGGGGGGGGGGGGGGGGGGTACTGTTACGTTCTGCCCCTGCCTTCCTGACTGTGTCTCTCTCCTGCCCTGATGAGCCCTTATTGTTCTCACCTGCCCCTTGTTAACCTGCCCATGTGTTCCTGATTTCCCTGTGTATTTATACCTCCCTCCTTGTGCCAGTCTTTGTCAGATCATTGTTGTTTGTAGTCACTGTTGTTTTGTTCCTGTCGTTCCCATTCCACCATTAAAACCGTTTTTATTTTTCATCCCTGCCTGCTCTCCTGCCTCCTGAACTCCCCACCACACATGGTCCATCACCTCCAATCCACACCTGCAACATGACACACATGGCAATATTGATGGTGGTTCTTTCCTCCCTAAAGAAACATTCGAAGCTCGCTAAACTTACAGCTACTTACCCTCTGCTCTTCCCTGGTTCCTGTCTGGTTCAATGACGTCAATTTGGTGATGCGCACTTGTAGCCCTAGATGTATTTTCACACAAAACCTAAAATAACTTTTGCCCCCGTTGAAAAATAAGTGCTTTTATGGCATCGGAATGTGTCTTTAAAATTCATGGACATCATATGGGAAATCCATGGCACGCATCTAACGAGATTAAAAAATAGCTTTTATAGCCCTGTTGACTTGCATTCATTTTATTCTTACTTCCGATGACCCGTGGTCCAGAAGTAGATGGGCGTGACTTAGGCTCCCTATTGAACTTTTACTGTTATTAAGGTTCGTAGACATGTTTTGCGTTGATAAGTGATGTCCCTCACGGCCAAAATGGTCGTGATATAGTGGCATATTACCAAAGTCCGCAAAGGGCCAATTTTGAATGGAGACACAATGGCTGAAAAGACGAGGCAGTTGTATTCTCCCAAAATTGAAAACACAGCATTAAATATATATATAAATAATTTTATTTTGACTGGCTTTCTGATGATCAGCAGCAGCAAACATGCTGCATCTGTGAAAAACTGTTTAATCGTGACTGTTGGTTTAAAACTGCCTTCGGAATGTCATTTGAAGCAAATGTGGATTTTACTCACTGGAACAGCTGGTAGAAACATCATCACATAGAGCTGTGCAATTCTGAAATATAAGCAATAATGTTTCCATAAGCATTGCATCACATGAACACAATGCACATTGTGTTAAAGTGACAGAAATCTACTTTTGGGGTCATGCAGTACATGCAAGACTTTGGTAAAGGAGCATGAAACACTGAGCAATAAAAGATAAAAAACAAAGTAATATAGATGTTCCTACTGCTGATAAGAATTACAGCCATGGTACTAAAGATCAAGACATGCTGTTCAGCTTTTTTTATCCAAATACGCCGAGGAGACGGTGTGTCAGCGTCATTGATTTACCTGGCCACCTCCTCCTCCTGCTGCAAGAGGAGCAGTAGATTATGCGCGTTGATGAGAAGACCCCAACAGGGCAGACAAAACAGCAGAAGGATGAGGGAACTTCTTTGCAGTATCACCCCTACACGTATCATGTTCTTACCGCCAAAAGTCTTCAAAGCAGAAGAAGGAAAATCTTATCAACTTTCTTCAAAAAATTTTTGGGGGGGAGGTTGTGACACACAATTGATCCACAGATAATGGGATTTGCTCACCTGAGAAATAAGTGTGTCACACGCCAGAGCTAGGCCGTAGCCCGTTGCAGTTGTGGTCACATTAATGGTCTGAAGAGTGAGGAAAAAAATTACGGGTTAGACCTGAGTTACGAGATTTTATCCCGAGTTATGTGAGAAGTTCATCAATTCTTTTTTATCTAATTAAAACCAACCATTTGATAGAACTCATTTTAATCCTGCTATCTCATTTAGGCATGCAATTAAACAACACATAAATAAACTACAAATATTGAGTTGTTTCACTAAAAAGTTAAAAACCAGTATGTTACTTGACAATTGTAAAATTATTACTGGTGTTATTGTGACATCATTACTACCTTTTATTGCATTATAGCCCTCATAATTCCTCCAGTTTTCATTGTGTGCACATTGAGTGGATAAAATTGTGAATAAAACCCAAACCCAGTGTGAAATTATATTTGCAAAATAATAGTTTCATAAACGTACATGAAAACTGGAACCTGAAGACAAAAGGACCAAAATGCCTCCAAGTGGTGGGCTGCAGGACATGTTTTAAGCTTCTCCCCCGCCATGTAACCACTTTTAAATACTATGGTCAGCTCCATAGACATCATATACCTGTACATAGACACGATGTGGACTGGCAGAGCTGGCATAGCAACAGACCGCCATCTTGGTTGGGTCTCCATTCACCACCAATGCATTTATTTCTACTGAGGATGATGTTTACCCAACTAAAAAACACATTTTCTTATTCTTTTTCACAAAATCAGACACATGGTATGGCATGATAGTTAAAATATAAATATTATTAAATTAAATAAATTAAATTCAAAATCCCATCAAGTAAGCTGGAGAAGTCAACAGTAATCCCACGTAACATGTTTTCAATAGTGCGCCGGTTGTTGCAACCATAGGCTGCATAGTTGCTTACTCTGCCTTGACTCCAGTGGTGTTTAGCTAGTGAAGGACCCATTCAATATGGTGGTGATGCCGTTACGTTCTCCAGCGCCCAAAGGCGGGTCTACGTATTTATGTCTATGGTCAGCTCAGCCTGCCCCCACGCAGCTTGGTTGTGTTTACATTGCATTCAGAAACACGGATGTGGGCGAGGACATGGGCAGACTCCGCTTAGCAGAGTGGTGTGAAGTCTGTGGTGTCATTCCTAACAAAAGTGGGCATGAGCGTGATCAGTTGAGATAAGTGGGATTAGATGGTTAAAAACAATGGAAGATGTCGAGGTACTTTTATGTGGCTCTTGTTGAGGAAGAAACTCCATCAAAACCATAAGATCAAAACAGAAATCAGTATATGTGACAGTCCGCCTTTTAAATAAAGGACCTCTTTCAGCTCGTGTCTCAAAGACAAGCCCAAGTTGTTCAAAGTTGATGCCAAACAAGTGCCATTCATTCTTGAGCCTCTGCCATATTTGTAGTTTTTCTCCAGTGCAGTTCTTGTGCAAAGGCTAGTACTAAAGGGCATGCAAGCATATATATGTGCAGAATTATGTTGGACTAAGGCAGACAGAAAATTTCTAATCAAACTGGCAAATTGATCTGCTTTGATGCAACATTTTCAATCATTGCTGAGCACAAGTACAAGCTGCATTCAGTCACTTACAATGGTTTATTTCACTGAGCATGTTTTTTATTAGTCAGACTTGAATGTGGAGACTAGTTTTCAGCTATTTGTCAAAGATAATTTAGACTAAAATAACTTCTTATCTGAATCTGATTGACCCTTTGATCTGCAGTGCTTCTGCTAATCTTGAGTCTTGCTAAATATGCCTCGGTGTCTAGAAAAAACTAAGTATACCTAATGGATTAGTCCATTTCTATTCAATTCTGCTCAGCTCAGTTCTGAATAGCTTTTTTAATTTGTCATACATTTGCAAAAAGTTACCAAAAACCTTTTTACTTAAAATGGCATATCATTTAAAGGAATGCCCATGGAACAAATTTGTTGCCATGTATTTGTTTTTCTTTGATAGAATTTTTTATTTCACTGCTCATTTCCATTTTTTTTTATTGTCAGTTAGGCTGTAAACTGATGCAAGATTTGAAAATGAAAGGCCTTAAAATACCCTCAACATGTGTGGAAATTTTTGTTTTTTCTAAGGTGACAAGTATTTTATCCCTCTGCAAAATACCCTCAGAGCTCATACAACTATCATACGAATACAAACATACAATAGAACGACATCTCAATCTGCAAAAAGGCCATACCGCTGAGGCGATTGCAAATCCAGCCAGTTCTGCATTTCCAATGTGACCACAGAAAATGGTGTTGACAAAGGGCAGGAGAAAGTTCAGGATCCGAGCCAGCAGCTGCAGACATAAGTCGACATTTGACAAAATGCATACAACGCCCCTCACTAGTGCATCAAGTTTTAACTACCGGCTGCACACACAACTTGTGAGTAACAAAGTTGGAGAGCAGAATTTGAAATCAGCAGCCAAGTGCTAATTTGTTCGTAAGTATAGGCCTCAAATTTTTACTTACTGCACACTCTATAAATTTCACAAGTGATTGCACGATTAGATTGAATTATGCACAGCACATCAACATCTACATCAGAGAAAAATAGTAAAGAATGAATTCCAGTCAGATTATTTTATAAATAACAGACTTGAACAACACTTCAGCTTTCCTCCACTCACCAGAGGGCCCGTGAGGCGTAAGACGTGGTAAAGTTCCTCTCTGTAGGCTGGTGGCAGCCAGCGTTTCACGCACGCACACCGGAACAGTTTGGAGCTGGCAAATGTTGTTGCCTCATCCCCGTGTGCCCCCTCCGTCTTGGCAACCCCGGAGACTGGCTCTGCACCCGGCAACGGGTGTGCAGGTTCCAGAGAACCCTGCTTCTCCATTCAAACACAAGGGAAAAGGAGCACAGGAGCAACAGAGGAGGAAGAAAAGTTACAGAACAAATCAGCAGGGTGTGGGAGGGGGGGGAGTAAAAGGGTGAGAGGGTGAGGCGAGGGGAGCCAGCCAATCTGGGCTTAGAAAAACGGCACATAAAGTTCTTTTAAATGGAGCGTTGTTTGATAAGAGAGGAGAAGAGGAGCTGCAGCACCTGTATTCCCCACTGGCTCGCAGGGATGACTAAGCCTGGTATAAGGCACCGATACGGAGGTCACATCAGGGCTATTGAGTGTGTTAGGTTATTGTTGGAGGGAACACACATAGGCTGGGTACACAATGTGAGTGAGTGAGTTCTAAGTGCATGTTTTGGTGTGTGGGTTTGCACGAGGGGTCTCGCAGGGCTCAGTAGTAATCTGATGAGGAATGCCAGTTTATGCAGCTTGTTTACAAGGAGCGTCAACCTCAATAAACTTAATCCATTAATTGCATCCGTCGTGTTTGTGTGCACACAAGAATTTGCCACTGATCATATCTGGCCGGCTGAACTTTGGTCACTCGCTATTCTTATGTTATTTCCACACATAGAGACAATGTCACAAGAGCAAAGAGACTTCCCAACCCAACTTGAACCTTCATTCACAAACATTTATGGCGCTTCCGCGGCCGGTGTGTCCCCGGCGTAAGTGACTTCTCCTGGTGTGTTAATAAGTAATGGCGGCTGAGCTGATTTGATTACAGAAGTTTAGATTACCCCCAAAACCGAGATGCTATCGAGTGTATCAGAATAGGAGGAGACAGGCAACAGATACACAGACAGGCAAACACTACATTTTACGCTGTATGGATGTGTGAGATGGTTATAATTCTGTCAATCAGAGCATAAACACGGACATTGTTTTACAGTCATTCAAAATGTTGCAGCTGAGAATGACCTTTGATCTTTCATAAAAAATCTCACATAATGACTTCTTAAAGGATGAGTGGAGCAATTATCTGTCAAATACTAAGTGTAATATTTAGAAAACTAAAACTATTACTCATTATACTAGCTGGTTGTGACAAAATTACACAAGAGATTGAGCGACAGATTGAAAATCAGATGAGCAGCTACAGGATTATCAAAGGTTCAGCCTCAAAATTACGAGAAAATTTCACTTTTGGTATAGAATAGGTAACTTTGTGAAATAGATATTTAACTTGTGGGTTTTATTGGGTTTTTATTCACAGAAGCCCATTTGCAGGACTGCAGTTACGTAAAACATTTTAATGTTTATCATTTTTAACAGATGTAGCGTTGACAATCTACACACTAGGATTTAACACTGTTTGCTATCAGCTTGGTTAGATCCTGAGAAAAGATCAGGCACATTAGCATATGAACTTATATCATATATAAATATCTAGGATATTATACAATCGATAGAAGTTCATACACCAACGGGCTTGGTCTATATTTCATCCAAAGATTAATTTTTAATTTAAGATAATTAAATTTAATAGCAAAAGGTTATTTATTAAACAGAAGACTTAATGGATTTTTTGCTTATTCAATAACCAAATATGCACCTTTCGGTGTTTCATTTCAAAGAAGAGCCAGGTTTAAAAAGTTAAAAATTTATTACTAACAATTTTTAAAGATGACCATTAAAATGACAATTTAAAGAAATGACAATTTGTAACAGCTTTGATATTAAACTTGGTATTAAAAGCAAACCTGTGTCTGGATGGAAAACTAAAATGAAATGCGATGCTTGGGTGCGTGGATGGATCTCAGAAGATTTCTTTCAGAGAGAGAAACGCGTTCTGGGTGAAAACGTTGTTTTGCAGCTAAATGAGTTGGTTCTTAGAGAGAACAGCATCAGACGCCATCTGTCGGAAAGTGTCTACCTCACCCAGTTCAGGGGCCCTGCTGTGGGTCCGAGATGTCAGGTGGAGATGGTTTCCTCCGAGCACGAGGTTGGTAGGACCTTAGTGCGACTCAAATCAGTCCTGAGATGTCTCCGGGTCACAACAACTGATGAAACTATTTGCGTCTCAAAATCAAGAACTCTGAAGGAGTTTTGCGTCAGCTGGTTACAGGTGCGTTTATTCGGAGCAATTCTATCAGCGTGACAGAACAGCTTAGTGGAGGCGTCAGGCGGCCGACCCTCGTCCTCTGATTGGTTCAAGAACTGGACTTGAGCTGCGGAGATTTTGGTTTAAACAAAACCTCAGAACACGCCCTCTCAGCGTCAGAAAGCTTGTTGTTATGGAGCAAAGACATGTGAGGTGGTTACTCTGGATTCAGTTCTGCATGATGTGTACACGTGCGAATGACCTTCTGGTTATTGATCACACATTACTGATTATCATATATAATAATTATTATTAACCCAAAGAATAATTAGTCATTTCGGTAATTCAATACATTTATACTGAACCATGATGATTATTTATGATGATTACAATAAACAGTAAAAAGAGTTTATTAAAATTATTATTTTAAAATCTTGAAGTGTCCTTCATCTTGGGACGGAACAGCAGACAGATAAAAGATGGTGTTTAGCAGGTTGCACGGCTCCTGTGATGGATAATCTGTGGAACAAAAGTTACAGCTTGACCCAGCTGACCTAGCTGGGGAAGTGTGACCTTTGGGACACAAAATGAGGCCATTCATGTTCCATGTGACACAGAATAAACATTTACCTCTGTTTATCCCTCTCTCTCTGATGGGGAAGTGAGAGAAACATTCAGATTCATATAGATGTACTCACGTTTCTTGTTTTGGAAACTCAGCATTGATTACTTACACACAGTGGTGCCCCCAAGGGGTGGCTAGGGGGGCCTGACCACCCCTGGAAAATTGACAACACCCCTTAATAAATCACTCTTGTGTTCACACAAACCATACATTAATTTTGTTTAATTATGACTTAAATGCTTAAGCAAATAAATAAATATATTTAATGTTTTTCAAATTATTTATTTAATAAATCCCAGTTTAAAAATATATGTGAATTTCACTCAGGCTCACTAGTTTCAAAAGTTAAGTCCCAGTAGGAACATGCAACTGTTTAAAAATTCTACATATTTTGAAACAATAACTGAAAACATTTTTTCTGAAATGTTTGTGTTTCTTAAATTTGAGGAAAATGGTTTGGTTACATAAGCCTTTTGTTTTTTTAATGATAAAGAAGGGCAGCGCAAGGCAATGCATAGCTACAGGCTAAACTCTCCAGAGCAAACACATGCAGGGACCAATTTGTTGTGCCATCCCAAAATAGTCACTGGCCCCCCTATGAAAATATTTGGGGGCACCACTGCACAAATATGCAATTAAAAAAAGAGTCATTTTAGTGTGTGATGTCCCTGGTTAAAGACCTTTTCAATCAACAACCAAAATGTATAATATAATTGCACATGAAATAAATGTTTTTTTTGCTTTGAAAACATGCTTGTTATAAGATCAAAAGTCATCGACACCAACAGAGGGAATCACAGGATTATTCAACAGTCGTTTTACATGGTGGACACCCATCCACTCACTTAAAAATAGATTAGATTCAAAAGGATGTGCTATTCAAGGAATGCCTGCTAGAAGACACAAAATGCAAGAGTAAAAACTGGAGCTCTAAGGTGAAAGAAGCTCAGAGAAACTATTTAAGTGGTCCTGGCCTTCAGGTAATGTCAGACAAAAGCAGATATTGTGTTTGAGCTGATAAAAGTGAATGTGGGAAGATGATCTTCAGCTAAGATGCTTTTTTAATTTTTCTTTTTCAGATTACATCTAGTTTGTGTTTAAGTACCAGAAGTGTGATCATTTGTGTTTCTCTTGTGATTTTTGACTCATTTTTATTTGTTGAAAATTTCATCATAAAAGAACTTAATACACTTTTCAATTCATGCATGGCATTGTGTTAATTTATTTTAAAAATTTTATTTTCTTATTTATCTTTTATGGTAAAAAAATTGTTTCTGTCATAAATTAAATAAATTAATCGAAATCTAGAATAAATATCTATTTAACCCTAAAACTGAATTATATAGTGGGTAATGTAATATCATGTAATGTTGTGCAATTATATAAAAGTAATAGAGAAATAATTTTGGCCCTCACCATCTGTAGATCCTCCACCAGAGAGCAGCAGACACGTATGGATGGGGCAGGTTTTTGTTTGAAAGTGTTAATTCTAATCCTGGCCTGATGTGATTTGTCTTTTATTAAGTGAGTGATTAGCTCAAAATTAGCTTTTTATTTATTAATGAAATAAAAAACATCTTTAAAGAGCAAGAAAGCTTTTTAAAAACTTGGATGGCTAAATTAAACCAAAAAAAAGGTATTTCAGCAGTCACCAAGAACTCAGAATAATTACAGAATCCACGTTAATGTCTCTGGATGCAGACGTGTCGTATCAGCATGTTCAGCTACATTCCGTCAGCCTCTGCATTGTCATTTTAATAAACCAGCTGCCTTTTTTTGCCTCCTCTAATCTGCTCTCTGTATGCTGCATTAAATAATTCATCATCTTTATTAATTAGCAGCTGTTTGTTTCCATAACTCTGAACTTGTTTCTGCTTTAAAAAACACATGTTAGGGTTCCCCCTGACTACATTTAATCATTTGAGATTAAGAAAACATGGTTGGAGCTGACAAGGAAATAATTCACCTCCTTTTACTGCCAAGTTAAGGTCTTTTACTTTGAAATGGTAAAAAGGGCTCCAGTAAGAGCGTCCCACGATGCCTTTTTGTCTTCCATCGTTTACTTTTGGGCTTAAATAATAACTTGAATGATCACTAAATAAGTTTTTTTCTTTAAAACTGTGTTAAATTGGAAATCTGAGAGGACACATTTAAGCTCTTAAACCCAGAAATGGAAAGAATCTCGTAAAATGAGAAGCTTCATCTTCACCTTCCCTCCCAGCAAGATTTAGTGCCACATGGTGATGACTACTGCTAATATAAGGTTTTATGCTGTCTGCACATTAAAAGAAAGCAACAATAAAACATGAAGCACTGAGAAAACAGGGTGTTGACTGGAACCGATCCATTAAATTTAGAGGAGGGGATTGAAGAAGAGAAGTTATGAACTTGTTCGGGAGGGAGGGTATATAAGAGCTGCAGGGGGTTCAAACGGCCTTTCACAGATGGAAAATCACAAGTAGGGACAAAAACAGAAACAACCTGACAGGTACGTGTCGTTTCTTTATGTTTCTTTAGGAAAGGTCACATATGAAAAGGCTTTACAGATTCCATGCTAAAGATTCATCTTGCATCTGGATTCCTCTGAATCAACAATTTCAGAAAACAAGCATTAGAGAAAAACATAACGATCACAAGCTTAAATGTCATTTTCTGTTTACGAAGAACAAACTGGCTGAACGCTGGAGTTTGATGTTTAAAAATATCAACGATCTCTGTTGGATAAATTATCCAACAATCTCTCCAACTTGTTTTGCAAGAGTTTAATCTTAGTTTGACCTTTTTAATATCTCGCCAACTCTGATATGAGATCACCAAATATGTATGAAAACATGTTTTAATCTATTTTTGTTTACTTGGTCTTAAAAATTTAATAATCTGTTTACATCAGGAAAAGTGGACTTTAAAAAAAATCTAAATAAAAATAATAATAAAAATCAACTAATATGGTTTTAAATCTCAATAACAGTAGTGTGACCAGACCCTTTAAAATGGGGTGGCCCAAGTGGGGCCCTGTTTGTGCATGGGTGGCACCTATGTTTTCTTTTTTTTTGGGGGGGGGGGGGGGGGTGGGGGGGGGCACCCACCCCTCACAAAATCTTTATTTTTTTTTTTTCATTATAGTAAATTAATGTGACTTCCAAATTCACACTTCCACCTTCGTGCCCTTCAACTGCACGATCCAGTCCAGGGGTGCAAGTGCAAAGGGTGTCCTGATTCTCAAGTGCGGAAATTGACCATGCCCCTTTTGCACCCTTGATCCACACAGAATTAATAGGTAATAACAGCGATTCAAACCAGCAATCTTCAAATTACCATTACCTCTTATTTCGGTCCAGATTTATAAAGACGACTACAATGAATCCAGCCATTCTTTTCCTGTTGCTCTTTTGTCATACAACCCAGACAACAGGTAAACCTTGATGATCCCTTCTTTATGTAACATTTATCATCATTTTGTGACATTTCAGCATCATTCTTTCTTTCTTTTTTACTAAGGCGTCATAATCGAGAGCCAACCATCGAGCAGTGTGGATGTTGTTCAGGTGGGGTTGAGGCAGAGTGTGTCTCTGGCTTGTCGGCCAGATGATGTCGCTCAAAATGAGGAAGAGCTGGTGTGGCTGAGGAACGGTGAGAAGATTAAGTTGATGGAAGAGAACAAGAAAGGCGAAAGCAAAGTATGCATCTCTCCTGCCATCTATGATGATAATGGAGCCACATTCACTTGTTACCTTCAGAGCAACTCCTCAGACGTGGCCTTTGTCACTCTGAATGTCACATGTAAGCAAATCTTTCTTTAATACATAATTTGTTCTAAAATGTTTAATATTTGCAATTATAACTCAGTGAAATGTTTTGAAGTTCAACTAAAAGTATTTTTTCTAATGCTTTAACTTTACAAATAATCACCAAACTTGGCCTTAAAGGTGCAGTCGGAGATGTATGTCTGGAGCCTTTTTTGACGTTTAGCTTGAAATGCTCTTTGAATGCAGATGGCAACCAATAAATTAAATGTTCTTACAAAAAATTAGGAACCCATTTTTTTTTCTAATTTTATTCCATTCAAAATTTATAAAATAAACACAAGAAAATACAGTACATAAACATAATGGAAAAAAATAAACATTTGAATGAAAAGGAGCAGATAGAAGAAAAATCTTATCATTTCCGCCCCTTTTTAAAAAAAAATTATCTGTAAAACATACACAATATAACCTCAGTCCATTTCTAATTTTTACATATAATTATTGAAATTTTAATTTACCTTTTCACAATTACTTAATACATTTGATTTTATACATTTTTTTAATATAGCAAGTGAGTTTGATTCTTTAATTTCTCTGTTAAGGGCATTCCACAAACGTGATAAATTTTCCGCCTCCCACAAAGAGATGGTAAGCGTGAATGTGAGCATAATTATATACATTTTATGACTTTATTATGTATTTTTTTATTATTGACTATTACTCCAAAGGGTTCAAATGAAGGCAGCTGGACTTCTTTGGTTTCTTTAAAACGTTTCACTTCTCATCTGAGGAGCTTTGTCAGTTCTAACTGGGAGATGGGAGAGTCAAGCTTATAAGCTGTAGCTGTCTGTTATTATTTAACGAGCAGATACTACTCTGAGTACCCCTCCTCTCCATCTCCTGATGAGTCGTTATTCTCTATTGTGAGGGAGTCATGTTGATTAGACACAGGAAGGTGTGACCAAGACTGAAACTGCTGAGGAATGAGATTCACCGCTGCGTTATTGGTACTGGAAACGTGAAATCTAAGCCCTGCCCCTATTTAAAGTGGGGTTTTCCACGTTTGACATAGGTAGCTTCTTTTACTCCTCTCTCAAACCATCTATCTTCTCTGTCCAGAATGTGGACTTTGTCATCTTCAAAGGTGTGTCCCATGTCCTTCAGGTGAAGGTGGACTGCAGAGTTTTGACCTGAAGAGGTGGCTCTCCTGTGTTGTGTTATGTTCTTGTGTAATTGTTGTCTAGTTTCTCTAATGTAAACATCTGGACAGTCCTCACTACACTGGACTGCATAAACGACTTCACTGAGCTTCTGTTTGGGTGTTTTGTCTTCTGGATGGACCAGGTTCTGTCTGAGGGTGTTGTTGGGTTTAAAGTTTATCGGGATGTTGTGTTTGGAGAAGATTCTTCAAAGTTTCTCTGAGACTCCTGCCACGTATGTGATGATGGTGTCTTTGTGTAAAGGGTGTTGTTAGGTTGGTAGCAGAGCTCTCATGTTTAGTGGTAAGTTCAGTGAGATCATGGAATGGGATCAAGAATTTTCTACTGACAGGAAAAAGATCTCAGCTAACATAGCTGTAGATCACACTGGATAACTTTGTGTGGTTGCATTTAATTTACATTTATTTTACTACCTCTTACTAGAGCTGTCTTTAGTAAACGCAAAGTCAATTTGGTTGTACACCTGTGCAATAACAATACATTATCTTGAACACTGTTAAATGTACTTCCTGAATGAGTGACCTTTTAAGGCTAAAATAACAAAATGACAAATACAGACAGAAGGACAACTTCTTTCTTCTTTTATTATGCGTTGCATCACCATCTGGTATCAGAACAGGACTCAATATTGGAAGATAATCAAAAATCAAACAACTTGGACTCGGATCAGGGGCAAAAATGTGGTTGTAACATCTCGTGATAGAAGTTAGCTTTATAAACCAAAACAATTATTTGTGAACTTACATTAACACTAATGACACTAATTTATATATTTTTATTATGTTGTTTGAATCCATGGGTCTCATTATCTGAATTTTCTAACTTGTTGGATTGTGAATCTGTTTAAAAGTTTTGCTCTGTAAGTGCCCCTTTTTTACTTTGAGCACCCGCCCCGTCAAAGGTCTCTGCACGGCCCTGCTCTATAGTTACTGTTATTAATGATCCTCAATGCTCTTTTTTGTAAAATGAACAAAGTTTGAGTAAAAGTTTTGCATGTGGCATTTTAAAGACCCCCAAAGCGTTTAATCCCAGAAAAAACTCATCCAGTCATTTTGAATGTCCCGTTCTTAATGATTGGATACTGATCCATAATCAAACTGCCCTCTGACCATCCTTCCCCCCTCTGCGCATACCCCTCTCACACATTTTCAGCCCAGAGCAGCTGAAAAGGAAGAAATGCCGAGCCAGACTGCTTGTAATGGAAAAAAATTTCCATTCTGTTTGTCTTTTCTAATTTCATTTAAGTTGTTTTATGTGTTCTGTTTGGAGTCTGGTTCTGATTTTGTGGGAAACGTTTGGGTGACGGAGTTGTTGTCTGTGAACTGTCCATTGTTGGCTGGCAGAGCTGTCTGTCAGTTTGTTGCAAAACACGTGTGTGAGTGGGAAGGCATTGACGATGAGAGAGTGAGTAGGAAGAGGTTTGGGTCAGGCTCTGGAAGTTTTGACATTTTATTTGTGGGGTTTTCCCAGATTGTTGGTAGCACTGAGCTGCATTGATTCTAAACATCGACATATAAATATTGGACAATGGGTTTCCATAGACTCCAATAATAAGATTTTGTGCCAAAATAGGAGGTGGCCACCACCGCCATTTTGACCGTGTCACAGGTTCCATCAAGCCCAGACAATTCCATAAAAGGGAAGAGAGGTGGAGCTGAGGGTGTGGCTGTAAGGCTGGGATCAACTGACGACACCCGGTCGAACTAGCTACAAGCTAACCCAAAGCTAACACAGAGGTGGGAGCTAAGCTAACGGAGGTAGAAACCTAGCTACAACCGGAGTTAACTGTGAAAGCCGGCAGCCCGCGCAGCAGACAGAAGCCGCGATCAGACAGAGATGCATCGAGCTGCGGGGAGGGGAGAAACGGGTGGAAAACATCGGTCTCCCGAGAGCTCCACAAGCCGATAGTCGGAACCCAGCTCCACCAACATGTTATATTTCAACCCATTTTATAAAGTGCAGCATTATGTTAAATGCACTGGGTTTTACCCTATTACATTTAAATTTCATGGTTAAACAGTACATGTTAAAATCTAAGCTCAGCTTGGCAGTGACCTAAAATACATAAATATAATTTTACTTACCGAAAAAAATGAAGTGGAGACTCCTTGGACGCTCTATTAGTGCAATTAATGCCACAGCAAGTCATTTTGTCCAACAATTGCACTAAAAATATCCAAAAAGAATACACAAACACAGAGACTCAAAATCCCGGAACAGTTTCCAAGCCAGACCGAGACTATACTGAGGCCTTTCCACGGAGCTAGCTCTGTGGTCACGTGGGTCTGAGGCGGCGGTCACGTGGGTCGGATGCTCATTAATTATACAGAATTTTAGGCTTTTAATACACTTAAACAGAAGAGTGAGAAAAAAAATCACCCCCCCTCAGAGTTATCATGAGTTTAAACTAGGTAATTTAAACCAAAAAACATGTTTTGGTACCAGGCTGTAAACATGTTTATTTCTGCTGTGAAATTGGTATTTTTAACATGGGAGTCAATGAGGATTTGCTCGCTTCTGACACCAGCCCCCAGCGGATGAGGGTGGAACTGCAATTTTTGGTACTTCCGGGTTGGCCTCAATTTTTGAGCTGCATTGTGGAGGCTTGATTCTAAAGTAAGAAAAAAAAAAGAAAGCTAAATCTCTTCTTTTGCATCTGTTTGTGCTGCCATGGTACTCTCTACTGCCGAAATGAGCACTTGAAAAAATCACATATATCCGTTGTGTGTTTTATTTGAAGAATGATGTGCCTAAAACAAGCCGTTTCAATAAGTGGCCATTTGTGATGTCACAAAAGAGGAACTTAGAATATAAACTCCCTTTCACATGCAAGAGCAACACATTCTCACTCCCAGCGCGTTATAAACAAACGCTTGGTCAGCCACCCTCTGCGTCAGACCCCTGACGCCAAAAGTGCCCTTTTTCGTCACATATGTGCGAAAAGGGTTTTTTGCCCTTTTCTGACTGCAGATCCCAGTGCAGCGTTACACTGACACGATGGGATGTCCGGTGATGCGGCACCGAATCAGCTCATTTAACCGCACCTAAACCTTTACGTTTTACTATTTATAACCTTCCCCTCTCCCTCATCCTAACCTTAACCCTCTTGCTACCTAAAACGTTACTCTCACTGTAATCAAGCATTTGTTTCCCATGCATTCTGACTGTGAATTTTTGTATTTGCCACCCAAGGGGAACATTAGAACATACCATCTGGCGAGGGGGAGGTTACAAATACCCTCTACTTTTAACCTCCACCGTGGTATTTGAAACCTCCCCCTCGCGTTGCCTCGGTCCAAACCCGACCAATGACGAGGCGGCTCCCTCCGTTCGCTTCATAGAGCCGGCTTTTAGAGCGACCGACACATCACTAACGTGTTAACTAGCAAGATGGTTAAGGTTAGGATAGGGTGAGGGGAAGGGGAAGGTTAAATAACGAGTGTCACAATCTGCTCCTGCCTCCCTGACTGTGTCTCTCCCCTGCCCTTGATTAGTCCCTATTGGTTTCACCTGCCCCTTGTTTACCTGCCCATGTGTTCCTGATTGTTTCCTTGAGTATTTATACCTCCCGTCTTGTTTGAGTTTTTGTCGGATCATTGTTTGTTGTCAGCGTTGTTTTGTTCTGTCGTTCCCGCTCTGCCATTAAATCCACTTTTATTTTATCCGTGCCTGCATTTTTGCCTCCTGTCAGCTCCTCCACACATGGTCCGCCGTCATCCACACCCGCAACGTGACAAAGAGGATAAGGTTAGGGTGAGGTACAATGAGCTTGTTTGGTGCCCTGGCTGCGGACATCCCATCGCGTCAGTTTTATGCTGCATTGGGATCTGCAGTCAGAAAAGGGGAAAACCCCTTTTCGCACATAAGTGACGAAAAAGGGCACTTTTGGCGTCAGGGGTATGAGGCGGAGGGTGGCTGACCAAGCGTTTGTTTTTGATGCGCTGGGAGTGAGAAGGTGTTGGCAAGAGAGGTGCTGCTGGAGGAGCAGTGGCTCATAGCCCCTCTCTGATGAGATGATGAGGGGAATTTGTGGGCATGGCCAGCTCCAGCTTGTTTTGTTAAAGTGACAGAGCCCTGAAATGACATATTATGGAAGGTACTGAAACTGTGAAGAATAAAACTGACAATGTTACTGAGGGATTTTGTACATAGAAGTTTCTAAACACATTTTGTATTGACCATAGTACTACTATAACTTAAAGGTATAGCAGAGGATCTTTTTTTCTGGATGGATCATCTAAACCATTGGTCTGTATAACTGTCAATCCTTCTGGTGAACCGTTCACGCAAGGCTGTCATCGTACGTGCTCGTTGCTGGGTAGTTTTCACTTCCTGCGCATATGTACAGCGAAGGTTGGGATCCCCACAGATGCCTCTGTTGCTGATTTTCTGCTAGACAGGTAAGAGAAAGTTCAGCATGCTATATGGAGAAATTCATTTCAGATTACTTCTAGAAGAAGTTAGCTGCAAGGCCAGCAGCTACTGGTAAACAGCGTGCACGAGGATAAGTGGGCGTTCTCTTTCATGTGCATTTTTTTTTTCAAAAAGTGGAGAAGGCGGTTCTTTCCTGAAATTCAGAACGATCCTCTGCCGTACCTTTAAAAAAAGGGTCATAATTTTCTTACTTTCATAGCTGGAGGTAGAAAAGGAAAATCTCAGTGTGAGTGTGTGTATGTGTGTGTGTGTGTGTGGGGGGGGGGGGTATTACTATACATTTAGATGTTAGAGTTCTCTCAGAGCTTTTGCTGCTGTGATTCTCATCTCCCATGTTGCAACCAGAACTATGATTACACGGGTTTCTGTCACTGCTCAGCCTCTGCTAACTTTTAATTAATCGGCATTCATCTCTAATGGTTCTGAGTCATTAGCTTTGTTGGAGACCTGCACACAGGTCTGTCTGTGTTGGTCAAAACCGGCAGTCACTATGCAGAGGGGAAATTTTACGCAGACAGATTCCTCTGCAAGGAATCTTGTGAGAAATTGGTTTTTTTTATTTTTTTTATTAATATTTATCTGATTTTCCTCAGATCACCCAGAGCTCAATGGTTCAGAGGAAGTCACCATAGAGGAAGAAGAATCGCTGGTCCTGCAGTGTGATATGAGGGCCAACCCATTACTCTCCTCAATGTTGTGGACGCTAAATGGAAGCATGGTGGATCTGCTAGCGGGTGGTTTCACTGTGACCAGCGATGGCTTCACTAGTGTACTTCAAGCCAGAAGGGTGGAGAAAAGCGTGCACGGAGGCACGTACAAGTGCACGGCAACCTCTCCCAGTGCTGGAGTTCACAGCAAGCTTTTCCATGTCATAGTGACAGGTCGCTTCTCTCATTCAGCTTTCTATTTTTGCAAAAGGCCTTTTTAAGCATTTGATGGTTTTATTTGTTATTGCTTTGCCTTCTGGGATTAGTAATCTGCATATAAAGTGATGACTCACTCCATGATGACAGAGCTAATCATCTTCGCTTTTCATCTGCAGAAAAGACCATAAAGTTCCCTCTGATGCCGACGATAGCGGGGCTGGTGGTGGTGTTCCTAACCGCACTTCTAGCTGTTGTTTCACGTTGGAAGAAAATCACAAAGGTAATAAACAAGAAAAATGCAAAATAATTATAAAAAAATACTCATATAAATAGAATTCTATAAGGATTTCTGTATTTCTCAACAGTGCTGCAAGTAAAAACCAACAACATAGCTATGGCAGCCTTGTGAATGCCAACAACAAACCCCCACTAAGGAATGCAGACAGATGCTGTGAAAACCCGACCTACCCCCCCCGCCTTCGGATTGGTGGACTTCAGCCTGGCGAGGTCATCAACCTGCAGGTGTCAATGTGCTCTGCGCTCCTCCCAAGATCTCCCTCCCACCTGTGGCTACAGTGGCTGAGCGCCATAGGGCTGCTCTCACTGGGGAAACAGGATCCCAGCCCCCCCCCCCCCCACCCCCCCCCCGCCCCGCCCCCCGCCTTCCTCTCTGTGTCTCATGTTGTGAATTGTTGATGTTCGTGCTTATATGTTTGAGGCGTTTTTTTTTTTTTTTTTTTTTCTGCATAGTAAAGTTACGCCTTGCCGGGAGTAACTCTGGTATGCCTTTTTTTTCCCCTCCCCCAATTCATCCTCATGTGATCGACCCCTTTTCATCTAATTAATGGTAGCGCGACTCTTGTTGCGAATGACCACAGTACCAATTCTTCTGTACTGAAACAATTGCCCCTCGGGGATGATTAAAGTTTTTTTGAATTTGAATTTGAACATATGATCCTGTCCACTGAAGAAAAGAAGACTGGACTCCTTTCAAATGTGTTCAAGTACTTAGTTATTACATTTCTTTATTGGTTTGCCTTTAAAAATTAATTTTCTGGTCAAAACCAAAAATGTGAATGGAATAATTAAATGCAAGCTGACCATATTCTGTGATGTTTTTTGTTAAATTGTAAAATTTGAGCGAGTCCAGACCAGATATTTCATTATTGTTATTATCCTTTAAGATCTGGCCAAATGTAGCATGTTATGTTCTGTGTTCACAGTTATTTATTTGAAGGAGATTGGAGGTTTATCAATATTTGGTATATTGCCACTGGGCCCTCAGACATTTGAACCGGATGAGTTTAATTTTAGAAGATCCAAACAAAATGTTGCTAGAGACAACTAAAAGGCAAAAATGCTTGAGGTCTGTGTTTTCTAGTAACTCATTCATCAACTCATTTTTGCATCTAAAGGGGTCATCACCATTTAAATTTTGAGCTGAACTTTAGCTCCGGAGTCAAGGAAGCTTGTTAAAATCCCGTTATACATTTACTTTGAATGTTGGAACAGGATGGTGATTAAAAGGTTGCGTGAGTCAAGGTTTGGATCTCTGTGTTCTCTATAATGAAAAACTTAACAAGCTCACATAAAATGATGCCAAGGATGGCAAGAACACAGCTTTAATGTCAGCTTTTCCTTAGTTAGGGCATTTAATTGTCTTGGCTTGGTTTTCTTGAATCCTTAAATAACTGTAACTGCTTGTCTGATTTGTTAAGATAAAGTTTCAGATCAGTCAGCTCCAAAATGTAAAATGTTCATTATTTCTGCCTTCAAGATAAAAATGTGAAGATCTCAGAGCTCCAGTGCTTGAACCCACCACAGGTTTGCAGTGACACCTGCTGGTTGCGTCAGCATTCTTCAACATGACTGATTTGTTTTGTTTTGTTTTGTTTTGTTTTGGTTTGGTTTGGTTTGGTTTGTTTTGTTTTGTTTGGTTTGGTTTGGTTTGGTTTTGTACAAATTCCGAAGAAAGTGTTGCGCTTACCTGGCCATGAAAACTGAGAACGTCTGAAAGGATTTTTGTGCAAATAAAAATAAATAAATAAATATAAAATTATGCTTTTGAAGAGAATCTGGTTGGAATTGTTTCATTTCAAATTAGAGGTTTTGATCTCCAAAAAATGTGCACAATAATCTCACTTCAATCTCGAGATGATCAGAAATTGTTTTAATAATCTTACTATGAATCTCTGTGGATAAAAGTGTCTATCACATACATAAACTTTTACATCCACTGTAAAACAGTAAAATCTTTAACGATGACGATTCTTTTCACGCATTCCAACATTCCAGTACCGCAACATCAAAATGTCATTTTTGGTTGTTTTGGAGGCAGTGGTAAAGATAACGATGCACTCTTTCTGATAAACTTGATTTTATTTGTTGCTAAGTTCCATATCCATAAATCTAAACTCTGTAATAAAAAGCCATTTTTTCCTGTGCTAAGAGCAGAACTGGAACAGTATATATCCACCATTTCTTGTGTACAGAACAAAAAAGCAGTTAAAACTCTGAATACTTGTACGCTGTTTAATGTACTTGTTTAATTACTCTTGTGTTTACTTCATTTCTGTTTATTTATTTTGTTTATTTGCCTTTTACTCTCTTGTGTATGTATTACATCTTTTTTATATTATTATTTGCCATATTTGTATGTCTGACTGTTTGATTGAAGGATTTAAATTAAAAAAAAAAAAAAAAAAGTACCGCAACATCCTACGTGCTACGTCACGAGCTTTTGCATGAGGAACGTCCTCTGTGGTCCGCCCACTCTTTCCACAGTCTGGGTCCACCCCCAAATTCAAATTAGGAGAGAAAGAGGAGCAGCTGGAGTAGATAAGACAGGACGGACAGGTCTACTATCTTAACGAGTGTTACTCACAGGTAAACGGTTTGGGTTTACTGTCGCTTTTGTCTTTTTCTAAGGCTTTAAAAGTTGACGTAATACAGATAAACTTGAGTCATTCACTTCTAAACTTTTTTATGTCGACGCTTCTAACTGATGGTGCGTTCAGGAACACTGTAAATTTGTCAGTTTTAACCATGAACAAAATAGTTGCAGTTTCCCGTGTTTTGTAGTTTAATGTGTAACGTAAATGTGTAAATAATGTAACACATTTTGTATGTAAAAGTAACGATGTTGGATGGATCACTGTTGTTGTCACCTCTTGCTGTCGAGCACCATCGGCTAAGCTAAGCTAGTCAGGGCAGGGCAGACAGCTTTTGTTCTGGCCAAACAAAAGCCACGGAGCTTCCACTAACATCATTATCACTGTTTGATTTAACAGGGTGCAACGGGTCATTTTTCATCCGTTTCACATATTTTCACACAGTTAAAAACATTATAAGGGTTGTTTTTATTTGTAATTCTTAAACATCTAGGCTGGTTTTTTGATATAAGATTTTTTTTTATTTTAATCATCAGAAAAGATCGATGTGAAACAGTCATTGCAAAAAGGTTTTTATATTTTTGTCTAACTGGTAAGAATTTTTTAGTATTGTTTATTGGATGCATATTATTTTGTTCCCACAGTCAATAAAACATCTTTCAGCAATGGATGGGTTTGGTCGGGCTGTGGTTGGGGTTTGGCGAGCACACACAGCCCTAGATGAGTCTGATGGACCAGAGAGTTCCCCAGAGGCCCCTGATCATTTTCGCAAGCTTCGCTCCTCATCTTCGCTTAACTCTCTGCAAACGTCTTTACGGAAGCGACTGCCTCTGAGGTCTGTTCAAGCAAACTCCCTCCCAGAGAATCCAACTTCAGAAGCCCCAAAGGGGCAACCGAAGACCAACGCAGTCCGCAAACTTACACGCGGTGCTCGGAACTCCATCAATGACGTGTGCCAGGTGGGTGAACCGGTGTTGTTGAGTATGGGAATAATTTAGTGGTTTTTATTTTTCTGCTGGGCTACATAAACAACTAATTTATTTTCATCTTTCCTTCTTCACCCAGAGGTTTCAAAGGAACAGGGAGTTCTCTCGTGAGGAGTGTTTGGTGGCCACCCCAGGTCGGGATGGGGAAAATTCAGGAGTGACAGCTTCTGTCACTCCCAGGCAAACATCTGGTCGAGCTGCTACACCCAGACGCACCCCCAGGTCTGCTGTCACACCCGGGCACACACCGGGCTTTAGAGGACACAAGACACCTGAAGCATCTGTACATGGGGTTAAAAGCAGGGGAGGCAGGAGACAGCTTGTCCGAATGGCTGCTTTACGAAGTCCCTTTGCTTCTCCCAACACGCAGAGCCAGAGGCTGTGAGTTCCAAAACTCTTTGCATTTATTCACTATATTTGGTGCAGATGCAGTCCTGATGTTTCTCTCCTTTTGTGTCTTTGTTTTTCTGCTCTGGTAGAAAATTTGACCAAGACTTGGACTCAGTTGCCAGTGGCATCAGGAGGCTCAAATATCTGTCCAAGGCTTTTGATCACCTCATTGGCAAAGATGACAAGTAAAGCATTTTTAAGACCTTTTTTAAAAATTCTATTGATCAATCTTGATTTTTGTTGAACTGGCATTTTTTTCAGTTTTAACTTTATTGTTTAGATTTTGAGTTTTTAATGATTAGAAGAACTTTGGATATGTGTACTCTTGTTCTCCCACCCTGAAAATCCAGTGGGCCTCCAGACTTCCTCCCCCTCCCCTCCGACATTCTTCCCGCCTGGGTTTGAATCAGGGTCTGTTTCTGGTATTCCGATAAGGAGGGGGCTGTGTGGGGAGAAAGTGGGTGTGCGAATTGGAGCCAGATGAAATGACAAAAATGTGAACACTTCCTTGCATCACTTCCCGTGTTGACATTCAAAATCCTAAAGCCAGATCTGGGAATTATGATTTGGATGCGCTGTGGACATCAGAAACACAAGCGATCTTGTGTTTTATCCATTCACGTTACATGCAGCTAAGTGCAGTCCTCATTTATGGGAAAATCTTCTTTTTAGAGTTTTAACAAGTTTGTTTTTCAACAGGAATTTCAACTATTCCCTAATTGTGGAGTAAAACAAAAGGTAACAATGGGGGAAAAAATCCACAAAAATGTGGAAACCGATGTTCTGGATGCCACTAATCTTAGCATGAAGGTGCATGGCCGCGCTACAACTGATGTTCATGGTTCGACTGTGTTTTATAAGTCTAAAACTAACAGCTCATAATCAAAGGGTGCCTTTAATTTCTGTCCAACTTGTTTCTTTCTGACTTTACAGCGCTGAAGTTGCTCCCTTCTTGTTACTAAATCTGCAAGTTGCATTTCTGTTATTCACTTTTAAATATTCTGCTTTCTGCGTTTGTCCTCCCAGCAGACCCAGTCTAAAGAAACGCTCTGCAGGGGCGGTGATGAGGAAGTTGGACCCCAGCGGTAAACTCTGTCGCTCTAACCTCTCGCGTCGAGCGTCACGCCTCTCAAACACACTGGGGGGGTGGGTCAACACGGCTGCGAGTACTGTTTGCAAACCCAACTGAACTACATTTATGTGTGACTGTGAAAGTTGTCTTTTTACATGTATTATTGTGGCGTCACTGTTCTGTTACATTTACATGTAGATTTGTTATGATACTGGGAGACTTTTCTATACCTAGCTGCCTTTTTTCTGTTTTATATTAATTTGTGTGAATTTTCAGTGTTTACATGTTTCAAGTTGGCTAGATATGAGTTAAAAGTCCTCATTTTTAGCTGACACAGGACCTTGAGAGATGTTGTCTGACAAAATGTCTCATTTTTCCTTTTTTTTTTTTTTTTGACGTAGTTGCATTTCATAAAACTTGTTTTTAAAATAAACCAAATCTAGTTAAAGCACTAACACTAAATGTACTGACACTGGACAGCAAATCTGTCCCATATATGTATGCAATTATCCTAACATTTTGGTGCCTTTTTTATAAAATGTGTTTAAACCAAGCATATAGTGTTATTTTTATATAAAGATTAAGCAGTGGTTAATTGGGAGCTTTTTTCTCCATCGGTTGGTAATGTGAGTGGTTTATGTGCTAATACAGTACACATAAATCATCCGTTAATGTGATGGGGGAGAAGTTAAAGGCTCATTACCAGACGATGGCAGTGAGGATTATGTCATGAAGAGAAATCCAGTGAGTCGTTTGCATAGTGACTGCCTCAAATGAAGCAAAACATTTCCCCCATCTTATTTTTTCTGTGTGAATGGAAGAGGAGAAAAGCTGTCTAAATGTGAATGTGTCCAAACAATAAAATCTGTACAAATTCAGAAACAAGTCTTCACCCTATGAGTTTGACATCACGTTGATGGGTTGTAAATTTTTACATGTATTGTTTTTATTAAAAGTAGCTAAACATTACATGGTGAGTGTTACTCTTCTGCCGCACAGTAACCCAAAAACAAGATCGCTACATATATTTAGGTTATAAGTAATATTTTAAAATGACCTGTAATTTCAGTGCATGTAAGAATTGTTACTTTGACTTCTTGATTAAACATTTGCAATAATTTTACGCCATTGGTCTAATTTCGATGACATGTGCGCCTTCAAGTGGAAAATCTTAAACTTGGTTTATGCGGTTTATGCTCAATCAGCACAGCTGAAACGACAACCGTTCGGTTTGTCCCTTGTTGTTACCCGTATCTGGCTCCGCCTCCTCCTCTCCGGCTTTGTACCCCGAGCAGAAAGCACGCTGCGGTTAGCTTCTTTAACTTACCGGGGCTGCTAATCATCAGAAAATGGCTCTTCACGTCCCAAAACCTCCGGGCTTTGCCCAAATGTTAAAGGATGGTGCTAAGGTGGGTTCAAGTGACCGTGTTTATGCGGTAGAATAGGTTTGAGTGGGTGTTTGTGATTTAGCTTGCGAGCTAATGTTAGCATGTACATTCACAGTCATGTGGGAGACTTCTAGAAAGAGCCAGGCCGGTCCAAGTAACTGGTTGGGTTTGCCGTTGAAATAATGGGTCTGATTATTTTGTATTGTTTACGGTTCTTATTTGGGACGTTTTCATGTTTGCACATACACCTGACTAAACGTTAAAATGATGCTGCAGTAGTTAGGTTGTCAAACTGCAGTCACACCCAGTTAGCGTTTAGCTAATTGTCACAACTAAAGTTCAGACACTTAGTTTCTGCTCTTTAAGGGCATTTAACATGATTGTCCTTATGAGTGTTCTCACTTCTTTCTGCTCTACACCAAGTACAGACCAGCTCATATTTTCATAATAGTTCTAAGTTGCTGCAAATAACAGGTTGACCATAGCATTTATCTTTTTGAAATTAAAACGAACATTCTGCATCGTTGTAAATGTCTTATTAAATGTACTATTTTATTTTCTACTGTAGCATTTTTCGGGGCTAGAAGAAGCAGTTTTTCGTAACATAAGAGCATGCAAGGAGCTTTCTCAGACCACACGAACCGCCTACGGCCCCAATGGTAACTATGTTCCAACAAAAGTATCTAAAATCAGAAACATCTTTAAAGTTTGACTTATTTAATTAAACTGAAACTGTTGTGTCACAGGTATGAACAAGATGGTCATCAACCACCTGGAGAAGCTGTTTGTCACTAATGATGCAGCAACAATCCTCAGAGAGCTGGAGGTGAGGAGATATTTACTAAATACTTATTGTCCATCCTGTTGAAAGTAAATAAAATAATTCACAAATATGCTAATCCACTTTGTTTGGCCCCAACATTTGTTCCATAGGTGCAGCATCCAGCAGCTAAAATGATTGTGATGGCATCCCACATGCAAGAGCAGGAGGTTGGAGATGGCACCAACTTTGTGCTTGTGTTTGCTGGAGCTCTGCTGGAGCTGGCTGAGGAGCTACTCCGGATGGGCTTGTCCGTGTCAGAGGTAACTAGAATAATATGGGATGGATTTAATGTTATTTACCCTGAAAAAACATTTTCTTTAATTTTTTTTCCTCTCTTATGACGAAATGACTTAAATTTAGAATAAAGAAGTAAGTGTATCTTTTTTTCCAGGTGATTGATGGCTATGAAAAGGCTTGTAAGAAAGCTCTGGAGCTCCTTCCCGACTGCGTATGTTCCTCAGCTAAAAACCTACATGATCTAAAAGAGTCCACATCTCTCATTCGCACGGCAGTCATGAGCAAACAGTACGGGAATGAGGACTTCCTCTCCAACCTCATCGCAGAGGCCTGTGGTTAGTCAGCTCAGATGTCATCCCTACAGTAATGTAAGTTTGTTTCTTTCTGCCTTTATTTATTTTTTACCCTACTGGGTTTTTGTTTCAGTGTCCATATTCCCAGAGTCCAACAATTTCAACGTTGACAACGTCCGGGTGTGCAAGATTTTGGTGAGCTTCATTACATGTTAGCTTTATTTTTTAGTCTGCATTCTTTGTGACTAATTATTTTTTATGTATTCAGGGTTGTGGAGTGACCAATTCTTCCATGCTTCATGGCATGGTTTTTAAGAAGGAAGCAGAGGGAGACGTCACATCTGTTAAGGATGCCAAGATTGCAGTATTCTCCTGCCCCTTCGACTGTATGGTGACAGAGACCAAGGTAACAAATGTTGTCAGGCTTAGGAGAAAGCTGAGAAATGTTGGCATTTTATTCCTCAACCCTCTGGAGTCCAGGGTGTAATTTGCCGTTTTTGACTAATTTAGAGTTTTCCTTTGTATTTCCAAAATAAAAACCATAACCACTGCCTTATGTGGCATCAGTCTTTTCAACACAACCTGGACCTTATGAATTTATACTTATTTTTTATATTTGAACACAAAGGGGTTGCATATTAGACCATAAATCACTCAAAAACATAAAATCCGAACTGGAAAAAAGTTGCTTATTTTACTGTGAAACCAACAAACATTTATGACGAATGTTTTTTTTTATAATTTAGAATGGTAATCTAGACTGTACATTTATAAAAAATATGAATAAATATAGCAAATAACACATTAAAAAAAAATTATTAGCCCTCTGGGGTCCAGGGTGTAAATCACCATTTTTGACTCATTTTGGTTTTTCTTTTGTATTTTCTAATAAAAACAATAAATATTGCCTTATGGGGATCATTTTTTCCAGGACAACCTTGACTATCTGAATTTATACTCATTTTATTAATTTGGCAATAATGTACATGCATTTTGGAGTGGGGAGTGGCTCCGTCTCACGCCGCGGAGATCGAGATCTTACAGCTGCGCGGCGCCGCCCACTCCTCTTGTTGGATCTCCGAGGAGCTGCATCGCTGCCTTTATCCTCTACCTCATCATGACCCCACTCTTCTATGAGGAAGGATGGATCTGCCACATCCTCAACATCCTCGCTATTTGCCTCAGACTCCGGCTGCGAGTCTCCGTCCACTTCCTCTGCTTCCAGTTCAAAAAACAGCCGAACTATCTGAACTGCCTGGTGGACATTTATCCTTCTCATCATCCTTTATTAAAGCCTAATAAAAGCCGACTTAACTGCAGCGACACTATATCTGTCCGGATCGCTCCAAAATATGAAGTTTATCGTCAATATCTAATTGTTGTTACTTCGTTCGCGCCACTCCTTTCCCCGCGAAGCGGCTCCTTTTTGCGCACATCTCGTTACTCGTGCAGCCTTCCTCTCCCTCTCCGCTACATAATGGTACTTTTTATCGATTGAATATGTGAGACTTCCACCAACAGCAAAAGGATCTCGTGTTTTTGTGGGTTTTTTATGTTCACAAGCACGTTCCCTCTCACGGATCACTTCACTGCTGTTTTGACAAGTTGTCAGATTGTCTAAAAATAGGTCGTTTAGTTTAGTGTAACTCCGCTTTTACGTTGCCTATTAACAAAATTTAAAATCTGGGGTGTAGTTTATAATCTCCTTTTTAAAGCTGAATTGAAACCGAAACTCGGGGAGGCGGAGTCTTGCTGCTACAGCTTCCCAAATCAGACCTGTTCAAAAGACGCGGATACGCGTCCATGGACCCCAGAGGGTTAACATTATGTAAAATACAATTTATTGTCTGCAACAATAAGGCTAGAATGCTATGGTCTCATCTTGGTGCTTGACAGAAGTGTGGTTTTTTTTTTCTGCAGGGTACAGTGTTGATAAATAATGCACAAGAACTGATGAACTTCAGTAAGGGAGAGGAGGACATGATGGAGGCCCAGGTGAAGGCCGTCAAAGAAGCTGGTGCCAACGTGGTGGTAACCGGGGGCAAAGTGGCGGACATGGCGCTGCACTACGCCAACAAGTACAAGCTCATGGTGGTCCGGTAAGATCAGCAGCAGCTCCAGTGATAAAACGTTATTCTCTAGTACTCTACCAAGTTATCCTTCAGTTAATCAGATAATCATTTACATGTGGTACATTAGCATTTTTCAACCTTTTATTTTCAAGGCCCTCTACTTGTACGTATTATCCTCAATCTCCACCACAAAACTTCAGTTTATTCATTTATTGGAAACCTTTTTCGGAACATTTGACTTTTCAAAGAACAAGCTCACTGAGAAACCTCTATTACTTGTTCTTTTTTAAATTTGATCGGCCAATCTGAGTTTGAACGTGAAAATAGTCTTCTATCCCCATCTCCTGGATTATCCGCCAATAGAAGACACGAGGAAAAGCTCTGGTTCGAAGACGCCTGACAGCTCCACGTCACAAATTAGCGTTCACTGACTCACCCATCTTGGCTCACAGCAAGGAAGGCTGTTGTTTTCGTGTCCAGGAGAGAGCAGAGTGCGTTTCAGCTAGTAGAAGCTAACCGTTGGCATTAGCAACTCCATAACACAGTGGAACTCCTTCGGGCTTGTGTTATCTGTAGAGATTAAACATCAGCATTGCAAAGTGAATGAAGGCAGTGAAAGAGTTGCATTGCTGTTATCCAATCAGAGGTGAGGTGTTCAAATATCACGAATATTAATGAGTAAGACTCCATATCTGACCCCCCCCCCCCCCCCACACACACACACACACACACACACACACTTTTCCGAATAACTTCCTTCCACTTCCTGAAACAGAAGCGCCAGAGCTTTTTTCCCATAGAGATTGACTCACATGACATTTATTCATGCTAAAGACCACAGCAAATGTATTAAAATAAATGAAGACTCTTCACAATTTGCTTTGGCAGTAAGGTTCAGTGAGGCTGTTTTGGGGCTCACCCGAGCTCCTGTCTCTTCAGGGTTGTAGTTCGTCATGAGCCCTAAGGGAGTTCTTCTTGATTTAAATGATCGTTCTTGTCTGCTTTGAAACCTGAAACCTTCCTTTATCTACAGGCTAAACACCAAGTGGGACCTCAGAAGGTTGTGCAAGACCGTGGGTGCTGTAGCTCTGCCTAAAATGGTTTGTAAAGTCATTTTTTCTGTTATCAGGGGTGTAAAAGTAATGAGATTAATCCTTGAGGTGTTATATATTCTTAGACGGCTCCAACTCCAGATGAGATGGGTCACTGTGACAGTGTTTACTTAACAGAAGTGGGAGACACTCAGGTGGTGGTCTTCAAACATGGCAAGTTTTGTTATTTGTTCTGTTTTTATTTTAAGTTTGTTTCTGCTTCAGCCGAGTCCCAAGTGTGATGCTTTGTCTGGCTTTGTTTTGAAACAGAGAAAGAAGATGGAGCCATCTCCACCATCGTGATCAGAGGCTCTACTGACAACCTGATGGATGACATCGAGAGGGCTATCGATGATGGAGTCAACACTTTCAAGGTGTTGGTCAGGGTAAGTCGGTGCTAATCCCTTTGCAGAGTTTTCAGATATATTCGTTTAGTCCGTTTAGCTAATTGAATTCCTGTTTTACCATTTCTCTCCAGGATAAACGACTAGTACCCGGAGCAGGAGCCACTGAGATTGAGCTTGCCAAACAGATCAGCTCATATGGAGAGGTGTGTTTGTGACTTTGGTTTGATCTGCACTACACCACAAACTGATGCATGGCAGAAACACAGATGTCTCTCCCTCTATAGTCCTGCCCCGGTCTGGAGCAGTATTCCATCAAAAAGTACGCCGAAGCCTTCGAGGCCTTGCCGCGCGCTCTGGCTGAGAACTCTGGTGTGAAGGGCAATGAGCTCATCTCTAAAATGTATGCTGCACATCACGAGGGAAACAAAAATGTGGGATTTGACATTGAAGTAAGTATGCAGCCTTCATATTTACACACAAAAGCCTAAGTGACAACGTTTAAAGTGGATTTAGGTGCATTATTGCTGTTAAACACATCTTCTGGTTGCTAGGCAACTCTGCGATTGTTATTCAGAATGTGTGACTCTTGTCAAAGTGCCGCTTTGGTCTGAGAGCTGATGATGTGAATGTCATGCCCCCTGCAGGGAGAAGGTCCCGCTGTGAAGGACATGCTGGAGGCTGGAATTCTGGATCCTTACTTGGTCAAATTCTGGGGCATCAAACTGGCCACCAATGCCGCCATCACAGTGCTGAGAGTGGATCAGGTGTGCACAAAGAAAACAAACATTATTCCAACAAAACTGATTATTTTATGTGCAATGTTTTATGTATAGGTCTTTCAGGTTTGCATTTTTATTTTGATTTCCCTTTTATTTCCCTTTTATTTAAAGAGGTGTGTATTTTTATACAAAGTGATTATTTTTTCCGTCTGTACTTCAAAGGCAAGGTTATTTGGCTTAACAGCCTTCAGATAGGTGATGTTAGTGTGTGTACAATCCAGATCATCATGGCCAAGGCTGCAGGGGGACCCAAGGCTCCCAAGCAGAGAGGCCATTGGGACAAGGACGGTTGGGATGAGGAGCCTGATCATTTTGAAACCCACCACTAGAGGGCGCACACGCACACACAAACCGTTTTTCAGTAGGTGTCGGAATGAAGTGTGTCCACTAAAACTCTAACCGAACCATCGGTCAAACTCACTTGCTCACAAGGAAATGAGGATATGAGATGTCTGGCCTGTCACTACTAATACCAGATTCCACGTGGAACACACGAGTGTTGTAACAGCGCTAGGTGTGCATTAGCTCAAAACAGTGAATGGTGTGGTTGCATGCTGCATGTACTTAAGTGCACTTTTTACTGTGCAGGACGGTTTTTAAGGAATGTAGAAATGAGACTAGTGAAATTCTTTTGAGATTTTTTTAATTAAAAAAATGAAGTCTCATGTTCAGTACTAGCTTCAGTTGGTGGTGATGAATGAAAGTGTTTATGTTTGACTTGAGCTAATATTGTTTTTACTAGATATGC